CCCACTCTACTTGTCACAGGACCTTGCAAAGGGCTTGGCTGAGAAAACCTTAAACTCCCACTTAAGAAGCACATAAAACTCAGGGATAATGTTAAAAGCAGCATTATCCAGCCTTGCTGGAGGAACAAGCAGCTATGGCTTGAACAGGATGTAAGGACCTCCACAGGGAGAAAGCTTTGGATGCTGAGAATCTCTTTAATCTAGTGGAAAAAGAAAGAATAAGAACCACTGGTTGGAAGCTGAAGCCAGACAAATTCAAGACAAAAATAAGGAGTGGAATTAACAGTGTGGATATGTAACTGCTGGAACAGGCTCCCTGGAAAGTGGCAGCTTCTCCATCCCTCCAAGACTTCACAACCACAATCACTACTTTTCTGTAGGATGCTTTTGTCAAAAACAAGCCATCAGGCTCAAAAAAGGGATGAAAGAGCAGAGTTCTCTGTCCTGTGGTGTTCAGACCAGCCAGCCCTTATCTCCACACAGGTTGCCTGGACTGTGGAATAATGCAGATGAAGGTGCAGGACTGGGGCTCTCTGTAACTCTACTGAAACTCGAGTGTGCATAAGGCACAGGGGAAGAACTTGGACAGCTTCAGAAGTAGGAAGAAGCAATAAAACGTGGAATATGGTGAGCAGCAGCCAGCTGATGCTGCTGGTGACTTGGGAACATAAAGCCCTGGCAGCCCCAGCAAGAGGAGGTTGTGCACCACGGGCTCACAGCCTCCTCTTTTGAAATTCAGCTGCCTTTGCTGGTTACAGTTCCCAGGAGACTGAAGGGCTATGGCTCTTTTACTCTGGTTTTCTGATTATGGAAACATCTTCTCAAACATGGAGGGCACAGAGCTGAACAAATGCAGGTGGGCAGCAGAGCTTTGTTGTCTCTAGGAGCGAGCGCGGGGATAATTCCTGCACTTCTGATGGCTCTGCAGACAGGAGGGTCTGGCTAATAGTTCTGCCTCAGGGTCTGCCTAATCAAGCTTGTTTCCAAAAGCTGAAGTCTCTAAAACTTCTGTAATGAAGTAAACTGTGCAAAGAGATCAGGTAGGACCCTCTGGGCTTTCCCTCTCTAATGGAAAGCTTGTACATCTTCACTGTCCCCATGGGGCTCAGAAGATGAGGGTCCCTGAGCTCTGCACATCAGCTCACTCAACACAAGCTCCCCTCCTGCCCACAAATCAGGGGTCCCAGACAGGAGACCTCCTGAGGCACAGGAAGGCTCTGCCTTCAGGTGCTCCTCACCTGCAGTACTGCTTGATGGGTCTGCAAAGTAATTAAACCAAGAAAGATCCCTCGATTCCCTTGGGACTAATAACAAACCAGATTCTTCTCTGCTATCCCTCCTCTACTGCTGCAGCCGTATTGCTGGCCCAGCCCTCACAACAGGAGTTTTCTGTGACTCCAAAAGACAAATCCTTTCTGCAGTTGCACTGGTTGGAGCAACCTGTCTCCCTTGACATTGCTGAGGCTGCCCCTGACAGGATGTCCAGCACCACACTGCACATCTTTACAAGGGGTATGTGGGCACTGCCAGCCTGGGGAACTTGCTTGCACAGTGTGCCACATAGGAGCGGGTGCCAGCTGCTGTTGGGGCTGAGGAAGAGGTCACTGGTCAGCAGAAAAGCCACCCTGGTTGCAGCTGGGTTTCAAGAGCAACTATTTCCCAAGCTGGTCCCATCTGAACAGGAGCTGGTAGCTCTAGGAAGCCCAGCAGCCCCGGTGTGATTTTAGCTGGAGTTCACTCATGCCAGTGGATGGAGCAGCCCTGGAGCACCAGCCCAGCTTGGGAAAGTGTCTGCCCTCAGCAGGTTGGTTTCAGTCATGCTAGGTGTGTGTGTGTGTAATTCATCATCCAAGTGCTTGGTGTCACCAGGTCCTGGTAATTTATTGCAAATAACATGATTTTGGCCCTTCACACAAGTGGATTTGCGATGATGCGAAAAGCTGCAGCTGTCTTCAGTGCTTCCCTGCAGGGAGCTGAAGGGCTCGAGTGCCTTGAGGCCAGTGCTGATGACTCCTTTTTCAACCCCAGGTCAATTTTTTGGCCCTCCTTTGAACTCTCTTTGCTATTTTCACATCCTTTTTGAAACTGAGAATTTGGAGCTAGCTTTGCCAGCAAGGCAAGGTAAAAGCACTGCTCTCCCCTTTCCTCCTGCAGATGTTAGAGGGACACAGTGGTCTCTGCACTGCCCTGGAGGCACTGACTGTGCTGAAATACTGCACACTCAGCTGTGATCACCTCATACTCTGCAGAACAGCTCGCCCTAAATCACTGCTGACTGTACTACCCATCCCGTGGCACCTGCATGGCTTTTCTCAGAAAAGCTGTGTACTCTTAACTGGGCCAGAAGCTCACAAAACATAGCCAACACTTAGGAGAGATAATCATCTGTCCTTGTGCCCAGCTTGGGAGATGCTGAATGGCACAGCTCTGCCCATGAACCATCGTAGCAGGAGCTTGGGGCTCAATGCCCCCAGCTCTGCAGGGTTGTTCAGAGAACCCTTGGGAAGAGCAGGTGCTGAGATATGAAATTTAGCAGCAGCTGGGGCAGGTCATGGGGCTGGGCAGGCTCTCAGGACCCCCACATTACAAACCTTGCTGCTGCCTTGAGAGTGGAGGGACACTGATGTCAAAGCAGCAAATCCCTGGGGAACACCCAGCCCAGAGGGAGGCTGGAAGTGCTGGTCCCAGCTCACCATGGAGGCAAGACCATTGAGAGCCTCCTGCAGAGCAGCTCTGGAGATCCTCATGGAAATTCTGTGTCTGAGGCAGACACTGAGGGTCTGGCCTCCATCACTCCTGTAACTTGTGGGTGAAAGCAGCATCTCATCAGTGGAAATACAGAGAGGAGATGAGAAACCCCCGAAGGGCTTCTAGAGACCTAAAAGCCTGAGCTGACAGGTAGCTCAGGATACAAAACTTAGTTTTATTGTATGACCATGGGGCTAAACACTGAAGTCTGTGCTTTTCTTTGTCTTCACTGCAAACTCAAGAAGTTGCTCATCTAATGACTGCTAATCAGGGTGGCTTGCCAGAGAGGCAGCAGTACCGTTTCCTCCTGCCTCCTGTGAGCCTAAACAGCACAGGCTGGCACTGCTTCCCACAGAAGCTTGGTGCAGGCAGGGACATCCTCAGGCTGCAGGGCAGCCCAAGCAGCCAGCAGGGTCAGGGACAGAGGCATGGCCTCACTGATAGCACACATCAGCGGCATTGAACAACTGCAGCTCGTTCTCCCTGGGAACTTTGGCCTTGTGGCTGAGCTGTCTCAGGCTACACAAGCCTCTCCCTTCACACTCACATTTCCTTTGGGGCCCAGAGTTTCCAGAGGAAGCAGTTACCAGGCTGGTGTGGCACAAAGCCCCGTGGTTTTGGCTGGGAGTAGCAAGAGGAGAACAGAACGTGGCTTTTCCTCCAGCATTATGCCAAAATCTTGCCCAGAAAGTGAGAAGTGTGTCTGGATCTGTCTTTGCCAGACCAGCTAAGTGCTGATGGAACAGATCAGCTTCTGCTGAGCTGGAAAGAGCATGGGTCTGGCAGTTCAGTCTGGCTGGTGGGTTTTTGCCTTGTGCTGGTCACTGGTGCCCCGCTGCTCGGCTTTATATGCTGACCTCTTTACCCAAAATGCATGTTAATCAGGGGCTGTGGGAGGGCTCCCCACGCACAGGATGGATAACTCAGTCTATATGAGATATCTGCACTTCCACCTGCCCATTCTGCCCTGCATCCTGGGGGCCTGGAGACCCCATTCCCAACCACATGCCCTTCTGGGATGCAAGAGCCCTTCATCACACTATCCTGACCATGCAGGGCTTTCCTTGCCCTTCCCAGGCACTGTGCAGAGCCACGAGGTGCTTGTTCAGTACCCATTTCCTCCTCACTATGCGGGTCAGCCCTGACAGGCAGAGCAGCCCCTGGTGCTAGTGTGACCATCACTGCTGAAGGTTACACATTGCCATCGGGGAGGGGGGATCATCCCAATTGCCCTGGGGCACGTGGCCCTTCTAGGATATCCACTCTGGGCTGTTCAGAGAGTGTTTATCCAGAGTGCTTATGTGTGTGAAGGTGCCTCAGCACCCACAGGCAGCACTCAGAGAAGCAGGGCGAGAGGCTCCATCTCCCCAGCATCACCTGGTGTGCCTGGAGCAGCAGTGGGGCCAGAGCCCCATCCTGCAGAACAGCAGGCGAGGGCCTGAGCCTGCCCTTTCCCTTCCCACAACCCTGCTTCATTTACCACACACCTCCCAGCTCCTGCAGCGGATGAGGGGGGGCCCTGCCGGCCTCCGTCACCGCACAGCCTCACCTCCCTCCCTGGGGCTTGGGGCCCATCCTGCGTGCTGTGCAAGGCCCTGCCCTGCGGGAAAAAGTAGTGTGTGGTGACGTAATTAAGGCTGCACCACTTTTGCATGTGTGTAGGGTCTAAGCATTTCCTCTTTCTTGAGCTTGGCTTCCCCATGCTCCTCAGGAGGCTTTAAAATGGGAGAAATGGCTCTGGGAAGCTGAGCACCCTCAGCAGTCCCGAAAGCCAGTGTGCCATGAATAGAGACAAAGAGAAGGGGAGAGCTCTGATGTGCTCCAGCTCTGTGTGGAGAGTGGTGCAAGAGCCTGCTCCAGAGACATCAGAACCCTGTGTGCATCAGCTGGAGCTGGTGTACAGGTCCACAACATGGTTAAATGTTGGTCCATGGGTGTGTGTGATGGTGCTCGTGCTGCTTCCCATGCTCTGCAACCCAGCCAAGATCTGAGCTCCTTTAGGGGGTACCCATGTCTCCCAGCATGGACAATGTATTCCTCCCTGAATCCCTTTCCTGGAAACATCCATGCCATTATGGCTTGGACTGCACGAAAAAAAGCTCATCCCCAAGGCAGACATCTGGCACACAACATTTTCTCCCCAACAGCCATAATTTTGCTGGGCTGCAAGCAGGGGGGCCAGCCTTTCCTGCCCACGCCCTCTGTGAGTAGGGGGGGCTGTCGTGCTGCTGACCGTCCCCTCTGCCCCCCAGGACTACTGGCTGTCCCTGCTTTACAAGCGCCTCATTGGTCCCAAGGTGCTGGCGATCCACGTGGCCGGTCTCCAGAGGAAGCCCCGGCCCGGCAGGGTCATTCGCGACAAGCTCCGGATTTATGCCCACTGCACCAGCTACCACAAGTAAGTGGAGCGAGGCTGAGGGTTACAGGGTGGGGTAAGTGGTACCCCCAGGGGATGGGGGCCAACAAGGACACGCTGGGGCACCTTGGTTTCCCAGGATATCCACTCGGGTCCTGCTCTGGCCGCTGTCACAGCCAAGGGAGAGCGCGGGAGCGGCGATGCCCCCGCTGAAAGTCGCGGCCAGCCCGTGCCTGGGAACGGGGCGGGCCCGGAGCGGCGCTGGCCGGCGGGCAGCCTGGGCAGCGGAGATCAAGGGAGTGCATTTCACACGAGGGGCCCCGCTCGCTCGGGTTACCCGCCGGGCCGCGCTGCCGTGGAGCCTGGCCTGGTTATTGTTTTGCTGATAAGGTCTTTGAAAGCACCTCAGCCAGCCGGGGGGGCGGCCACCTCCTCCGCGGACACAAGTTGCTATTGTGGAGGAGGAGAGACTGTTTCTTTACACAGTCCAGATGCTTTCAACATGCCTCCAGCTCGGTAGGAAACCTTGTCTAGTAACTGACAGGTGCAAAGTGCTTTATAGCCTTTGTTTGGGGCTGTCTGATTAGGCAGGGACAGAGGCTCAGTGTCTGGACCTGTCTGTCAGGTGCCCAGGGTGGCAGGGGCAGACGCCACTCATGCACAGAGCTCCCCTCCGTTCTCAGCCTCCTCCTTGCAAGGCTGTGGGAGCGGGGAACGGGGCCATCGTGGGACTGACACTCTGTCCTTGGCCACCTCCACTCTGGACACCGTGGCAGCATCCTCTTGTGCCATGTCACTGCTGGCTGAAGAGGGGGGCTTGAAAGGTGTCACCTCAGAACCAGGCTTCATGATGGGAAGGTGGCATCTCCCTGTGGAGGGGCAGCAGGATAGTGAATCGGGATACCTGCACCAGGCCGGTCCTTACAGAGACCCCCAAGCCCCTTCTTGGAGGCAATGCTCCCTGAGGACATGGCAGTGCAGCCCTCATCTCCCACTCTCCCCTCTGTAGTCACAACTATGTCCGGGGATCCATCACCCTTTACATCATCAACCTGCATCGCTCCCGGAAGAAAATCAAGCTGGCAGGGACGCTGCGGGATAAGATTGTCCACCAGTACCTGCTGCAGCCCTATGGCAAGGACGGGCTCCACTCCAAGTAAGTTTCATGCTGGTGGCTGGGGCTGCCACCACTGTCCCATGCTCAGTGCCACTGCGCTGACCCTCTCCTGGTCCCACAGGTCGGTCCAGCTCAACGGGCAGCCGCTGGCCATGGTGGATGACGGGACTCTCCCCGAGCTGAAGCCGCGCCCGCTGCGGGCCGGCCGCACCCTCGTCATCCCCCCGCTGACTATGAGCTTCTACGTGGTGAAGAATGTGAACGCGCTGGCCTGTCGGTACCGATAGCCTGGGGCCCACAATGGACTGGCCAGCCCCGCTCCTGCCCCTGTGCACTGCCCAGGTCACGCTGCCTCCTTGGCAGCCCACGCAGCCTCGTCGTGGGGCCGTGTTGGGCAGCTCCACGCCATGCCCTCATCCTCACCCCCAGGATGTCCTCCACCTTGGGACCACCCTGCCCTGTGACCGCAGAGCTCCACATGCCTGGCCACCATCCCGCCAGAGCAGTGCCACAGCCGATTTGCAGGGCCTGCCATCCTCCGTCCTGTGAGCTGCGAGGACCCGGGCCCTGGTGCCCACTGGCGACGCTGAGCCCCGGTATATCCCGGGACAAGCACCCTCCCCGACCCCCTGGTCCCGCTGCCCCTCGGGATGAGCCCTGCAGCAGCCGGACCCCCTCCCCGGCGGCGGGCAGTGCTCCGGTGCAGCAAGCGCATGGAAGCAGCTCCCTCTACTGCCGCCGGGATGCCGGCCGGGCCCGCCGGGGCTGCACCGGGCGGGGCGGGGCGGGGCGGGGGAGGGCGCGCCGGGCCCGCCCCGGGCGGGCGAGCTCGGGCTCCGAGGCGGGAAGTGTTGATAATTAAATTATACATCCCGGAGCGGAGAGGGGCGGAGCGGCGGGCCGGGACCGTGTACTGCCCAGGAGAGTGGCGGTGTCGCGGGCAGGGAGGAGCAGCTGCGACGCGCCCAGGCGCTACCGGAGGTGTAATAAAGTTGGGCTCTCAACCGCGCCGGCGTCTTCTGTCCGCCGCGGGCCGGGCCGGGCCGGGCCGGGCCCCGCCGAGCCGGGCGGGCGGGAGAGGTGCGGTGCCGCGGTCACACGGTGCGGTGCCGCTGTCACACGGTGCGGTACCGGGGTCACACGGTGCAGTGCCGCGGTCACACGGTGCAGTGCCGCGGTCATACGGTGCGGTGCCGCGGTCACACGGTGCCGCTGTCACACGGTGCGGTGCCGCGGTCACACGGTGCCGCTGTCACACGGTGCCGCTGTCAGTCACACGGTGCGGTACCGCTGTCACACGGTGCGGTACCGCTGTCGCTGTCACACGGTGCGGTGCCGCTGTCGCTGTCACACGGTGCGGTGTCTCTGTCACACGGTGCGGTACCGCTGTCACACGGTGCGGTGCCGCTGTCACACGGTGCGGTGTCTCTGTCACACGGTGCGGTGCCGCTGTCACACGGTGCCGTGCCGCGCCGGGCCGCCGGGGGCGCTGCGCGCGTGGGCGCGGCGGTCACGCGCGGCGGAGCAGGAAGCGGCGCGGGGCGGGTGGAGCCGCCCGGTCCCGGAGCCGCTCGGTCCCGGTGCCCCGGTCCCGGTGTCCCCCCGGCCGCGGGCCATGCGCTGCGTCCTGATCGCCAGCACTGCGGCCGAGCTGCTCTTCTACTGGGCCGATGCCGCCTTCCTCCGCCGGCTGCGGCCGTCCCACGCCGGGCAGGTGGGGCGGGACGGGCGGCGCGGGTGCGGGTGCGGGAGCATGGGGTGCGCGGCTGACCGGGAGAGTGTGGCGCAGGGCCCGGCGCTGGAGGACAGCCTCAACACCCTCTTCGCCCCCCTCATCATTTCCTGCGCCGCGCTGCTGGAGAAGCTCTCCGACACCTATACCTGCTTCGCCACCGAGGGCGGGCGGCACCTCCACGTCCTGCACATGGTAGGACCGGCACCGGGGACCAGGGACCCCCGGGCGGCCCCCGCTTGACCCCGCTGCCGGTTGCAGTTCGGGGACTGCCTGTACATCGCAGTGAACGGCGACGGGACGCAGAGCGAGGACGACCTGCGCCGGACGCTCTTCGTGCTGCGGCGCTTGGTGGAGGCTCACTGTGGCCTCGTCACGCTCGACTCGCACCTCATCCGCAAGGAGTGAGCAGGCACAGCCGCCGGCACGGGGTGGCATGTCGGGTTGCTGGGGTGGCTGCTCTGAGCTGCCTTCTTGCAGCACCGGGGGGTGGGAGTGTGTGTTTCCAGCTGGAACCCTCCCTTTGCTGGGCTGCAGCTGGGTTTTGGGGTCTGTCCCACGCGGGGAGCTGGGTTTTGGTGTGTCCGTCCCACGCGGGGAGGTGACAGCCACGTATGAGTTACACTCCTGTGACGGCTGCAGGCTGCGGCCGGCTGATTCAGAGCAGCGGGAGCGTGTGTGGAGCCTGCTGCGGGGCCTGCTGGAGACCTACAGCCACCTGCGGGAGGAGGACCAGAGCTTTGCAGTGGAGGTACCAATGCTCTGGGCTGTCCCTCACTTTTGGGGTGTTCCAGGGGTGGGAGGCTGCGTGGCGTCCCAAGATGTGAGAAAAGGCAGTAGGCTGGGGACTTTCTGGCAGCTCCCTGGAGCAGTGGAAGCTCAGACCTGCCCCTAGGACTGTAAGGCTGTGCTGAGGGAGCTCAGCAGCCTGCCCTCCTCCTGCACTGCAGGCCGTGGAGCGGCTGATCCATCCTCAGCTGTGTGAGCAGTGCATCGAGTTCCTGGAGCGACAAGTGGTACAGTACATCAACGCCAGCCCTGAGCGTGGCGGGGATGAAGTGGGCCATGCCTTCCTCCTGGTACACACCAAGCTGCTGGCCTTCTACTCCAGGTGCGCCCAGCCCCACCATCCTCCCCAGGGCAGCCATTTGTCCTCCCAGCTGACCTGTTCCTCCTCTGGCCTGCAGCCGCAACGCCAGCTCCATCCGCCCGGCTGACCTGCTTGTCCTCATCCTCCTGGTTCAGGACCTGTACCCCAGTCAGAGTGCTGAGGAGGAGCTTGGCCCACAGGTGCTCCAGAGCAGGACTGGGGGTGCAGCAACTCAGGGTGCTCCAATGGGGTGATGCCTTGACAGTTGGGGCTTAGGGGTTTTTTTCTCTCTTTTTGAAAGGCCACAGCAGGGAATGTTCTTCCTCAGGAACCCAAGAGAAGTGAGAGCATTCCTGTGAGTGGCCCTGGCTCCCATGGAGCTGCAGAGAAGGACTCAGATGACCAAGTGAGTCCTTGATATCAGGAGCTGCAGGGTGGGATTGCTGGGAGGGCTGCCTGTATCGCTGCTATCGCTGACCCATTTGTTTTTGCTGGCAGGACACAGATGATCTCTCTGTGCCTGAGGTGTACTACACACCTGAGCCCTCGCCAGGCCGGCACAGTACAGGTGAGTGCCCAGTTGGGCAGCAGCCGTGCCCCACACCCCCAGGCCTGCCGAGGCCCCAGGGCTCTGAGGGGGGCTGGAAGGGTGCCCTGCCGTGTTCTCTGCAGGCAGTGAGAGCTGGTCAGAGGGTGCTGAGATGCTGAGCCTCGGGGAGGTGGATACTGCAGATGTCCAGGTGAGCACAGAGTCCTGCAACACCTCCCAGCTCCACACCTCACCAGCCTGTCCCGGTGCCCTTTGCAGATTCCAGTCCTCGTCACTCGTCTCTTGCTGTGCTACAGCTGTGGGTGTCCTGTGTCCCCCATGTTGTGCATAATTGTGACAGCTCTGATCTCCTTCTCTGAGGCATTGCTTACAACGAGCTGTCAGCAGAGAGGGAGCAGGGCTGCCTCAGACCAGTGTCTCCCTCTGCTGCCATTGGGCTTTCTGGGCTGCTTCCCTGATGATGCTGCAACACCTCACACACTGCAGCAAACACTGGCCTCCGTTTAAGGCATTTGCAAACTTTGTCTTTGCAACAGTCTTCTTCTCTGCCACTCCTTTGGGGTCCCTGGGCACTTTCCTCACTGCTGATCTTTTCCTACCTGGCCCCTCCAGCTCTTTTGGTTCTGTCTTGCCTGGTTGCAGCTTTCAAGGCAATGCTACATCCCTACAGAGCATTCTTGGTGTGAGCTGTCTCATCCCTACAGGGGACTGAGTATCTCCCCTGTCTTCCCAGATGGCAGAGGACTTGCTCCAGACCTTGGGGCCTCTGGTCCCTGAAGCTTCAAACCCCAGAAGGATCTTTCTGGATGCCAGCCTGCGGGAAGGTTACTGCCCCTTGCTGCCACACACCATGCACTGCCTCCCGCTCTGGCCAGGCATCTCCCTTGTGCTACTGACCAAGGTGAGCTGCCTCTGAGGTGAGGGACGCTATGTGGGACTGGGTCCTGCCTGACACACCTCTCCTTTCCTTGGCAGGGCCCCATGACCCAGGTGGCCATCACCTTGTACCAACTGCTGGATGGTTTCTTGGTGCTGGAGAAGAAGCTGGAAGAGGGACCAGAGGTGGGAGTCACACGCTCCTACCCATTCCTCGCTGAGCTGCGGCAGCGCATGGACAAATTTGTAAAGAAGTTGAGTGGACAGGACATCCAGGTAGGAGTGGGAACATGAGGACCCTGTCCTGTTTTCTCCACAGCCTGACACAGTCCTGTCTTTCTAGTTGCAGAACACCTGGTTGGACTTCAAGAACAAGATCTTTTCACGGAGTGAGCCTGGGAGCTCCCTAGAGTGAGTAGGGGGAAGCCAGGGAAAGTCTCTGGGACAGGCAGGGACCTTTCCCAGCCTGGGGACCAGCACAGCTGTCTCTGCAGTGCTGGGGACCCAGTGTCCAAACTGAGCACTGTCTGTGTCCCCTGGCTCAGGCTGCTGCAGTCAGTGGCCAATGTGAAGCGGCAGCTCTGCTCCGTGTACCGCCAGCTCTTCCTGACCTCTGCTGGTCACAGCCTGTCCCAAGGGCTGCGGGACCGTGCTCAGAAATTGATGAGGTGAGTGCATGGGGATGGTCAGCCTTGCCAGGGGGCTGCCCCACACCCAGCTGTGCTGGGGCTGGTGGGTCCTGGCCTCTCACCGTGCCTCTTCTCGGCAGGGAGAAGCTGCTGGACTGGCGGGACTTCCTGCTGGTGAAGAGCAGGCGCAATATCACCATGGTGTCATACCCATCTCTGCAGTGGGGACCCAGCCTGGCAACGGGGTGTCCCTAAGGGGGTAGCAGATGTGGGAGTGGGACCCTGTCCCCTGGCACCGGGATCAAGGGGAGGAATGTAATGGGCAAAGGTGGTTTCCCTGAGGCTCAGGAGCTGTCCTGGAAGGGCACCAAAGTTGTTGGACACCCTTAACCCATCCCACATACCTGGAGGACTTCCCTGGTCTGGTGCACTTCATTTATGTGGACCGCACAGCTGGACAAATGATGGCACCATCACTCAGTGTGACAGAGAAGTCCAGTTCAGAGCTGGGCAAGGGTCCCCTGGCTACCTTCATCAAGAAAAAGGTACTTCTCATGGGATGGGAACCGCAGAAGAGGGTGGAAAATTGAGGGGTTTCTGCTCAGGCTTCAGGTGCCCCTTGTGCCCCAGGTCTGGTCCCTGATCACACTGGCCCGGCGATACCTACAGAAGGGCTATACAACACTGGTGCTGCAGGATGGCGACTACTGCTGCTCCTTTTTTCTCTGGTTTGAGAATGAGATGGTATGTGGGGCCAGGAAGGGGCTGAGCCCTCTTTCTCTGGGGCAGGGAGCAGGCTGTAGGCCTAGCCAGCTCTGACTGCTCGGTGGTCCCACCCCAGCTCCTGCTGTCTGCTGTCATTTCTCCCCAGGGCTACAAGCTGGAGGTGATGGAGATACCAGTCCTTTCTGATGATTCTGCTCCCATTGGGATGCTTGCCGGGGACTACTACAGGTGTGCAATTGCCAGCCCTATGATTTGGCACCAGGGCTCAAAGCTGTGATGGCACACAGGTCCCTGTGAGTGATGCCAGGATGCCAGTGTTGTGGTATCACTGGAGTTGCACCAGCCCATCTCCCAGCCTGGTGCCAATGGTTTTGCTGTGTCCTTGCAAAGTGCTTTATAGAGGGAAGGTCATTAGAAAGGGGTTGCCTGCATGCACTGTACCTGACAAGCCCCTGTCTTCTCCTCCCCAGGAAGTTGCTGCGTTATTACAGCAAGAACCACCAGGCAGAGGTAGTGAAGTGCTATGAGCTGCTGACTGTGCACCTGGGCATCATCCCCTCCGAGCTCGTGGTCCAGCAGGCCTACGACTTGGCCCGGCGCCTGTGGGAGCCATCCCGAATCCCTCTGCTCTGAGCAGCCTCCAGCCACCTTGGGGCCGGGATTAAAGTGGGTGTGTGGGTGTTCCCAGAGCCTGGGTTGCTTTCTCAGTGTCTGTGTGCCATGCCGTGGGTTGTGCCTGTAGGCAGAGACAGGCAACCTTCCCATCCTTCAGCCTGGCCAGGGCTGGCACTGTCCCTTTTCCCATTCCCCGTGGTTTTCACTGCCACCCAGCAGCCTCAGGGGACAGACAGAGAGGGGGGCCGAGAGGTTGTTGGCAAATCACTGTCTTGCTGAAAAGTACATTTCCAGAGCAGGATTTATAATGTTAGCTTGGCATTGCTGCCAGGCTTTGGCCAGAGATCAAGACAGCCTAGCCAAACCTGACTGGAACAATGGTCTAGGGTGCATCTCCCTTCCCCCTCACCCCCAAATGTGGGGTGCACGGCCCTCAGAGGTTTGCCAGGCTCTGGGGAGATACAGCCCATCCTGCACCCCCTTCCCCACACCCAGGCACCAGTTAGCCACAGCTCTGAGCTTAGCTGGGAACAGCGAGTAAATCCTCACTGTTATGTGTTTCCCAGGCACGTCTGGGCTCAGTGCACTCCAAACCTCAAGTACAGCTGGGAATGGGGCCAGCCCCAAGGGACTCAGGTAGCCACTGCCCCTTGTTGCTCCCATGCCACTAGCTGGAGCTGGGGACAGCAATTCAGAGAGCACTGGACCATAACGGCGCCTTTGCCCCATCCTGCTGAGCTGGAATTTGCCCTTCTGAGCAGTAGTTCTGGACTCAAAGCCAAGCACATTCCCAAACTGCCCCTTTTCCTGCTGCTTTCAGGGCTGCGCTTGGGGTCCAAATTCCCTCTGTCCTGCCGTGCTTGGCCCATCAGCCCAGCCACGTGCCTCTGGCTCATCCCTGGAGCACAGCGGGAGATGGGCGAGGGGGCCCTCAGGCCCCCGCCAGCCTGCTCAGCACCTTCCCGGAGTACAGCCTGGGGAGCTCCTGCTGAGCCCAGGCAGGATCTGACCCTGGTGCTCCTCTCCGGCCCCGCTGCAAGCCCCGGCCGAGCTGCGGACAGCGGCAGCGCCCGGCGCCCGCCCCGCTCCGGACCGGCCTCTCCGCCTCCTCAGGGCGGTCCCTGCCCCGGCCCCCCGTCCCCCCCTGTGCCCGGAAGCCCTGGGAAAAGTTCCGCCGGGAAAGCGAAGTCCCGGCTGCGGGACGCGGGGCGGCATGGCCGGAGGCTGCGGGGCGGTGGCGGCCGGGCTTCGGGGCGGGCTGAGGCGGGTCCGCTGGTCCCGCCGGCCGCAGGGCTCGTACCTGTCCCTGGGGCCGCCAGGAGCGCGCCCGGCCCATGCCGCGGCCGCAGCCCGGCTGCAGCTCGAGTACGACGCGGTGGTGATCGGCGCAGGTAACAGAGCAAGGAAGCAAGAGCCGAGCTGCGGGCAGCCGGTGGGACCCACATCTGCCCTCCCCCCAGGGCAGGTAGCACAGGAGCAGCTGGGTGGGGACCACAGTAGTGCTGGACGCATTGCAAACCTCCAGACTGCTCCACATGCCTGGGACGACGCAGGGGTCTGGCACAAATTGCAACCCCCCAGCATACAGAGTACTGTTGGAGCATCTGCCTTGAGCACTTCTGTCCTCCTCTGCTGCACCATTAGGGCCAGGGCTGTAGGGCTGGGGGAGGATTCTCCTTGTCACCGGTATCTCTGTGTCTAGAGCCTGTTATTGGGATGGCTGTAAGAGCCCCAGGCAGGGCAGGGTGCCCTATGCTGTGGGCACATCACCAACACGGGCTCTGCTTATCTCTCTTCTTGCAGGGCACAACGGGCTGGTGGCAGTGAGTACCTAGAGTGGCGTGCTGCCTGTCCTCCATCCACAGGGCACAGCAAGTGACTGGGAAGGGGCTGTGCTGTGAGCAAGGGAGGGCTTTGGTGGCAGTGTCCATGGGACTGGGGGTCCCACAGGCCCTCCTTAGTGAGGGGGGCACCATGTGGAAGAGGGTGCTCACACTGGCAGTGACATCCCGGCTGGAGGGATGGGCAGTGTGTGCCGTGCTCCCCACAGGCTGCCTACCTGCAGCAGGCAGGGCTGCGCACAGCTGTGCTGGAGAAGCGCCACGTGCTGGGCGGCGCGGCCGTCACCGAGGAGATTGTGCCAGGTACCCCGGCATGCCCCTTGTCCCCCTGGCCCCGGCCAGCCCTGGTGGTGGACACTCCCCACCACCCCGCATGTTCCAGGGTTCAAGTTCTCCCGGGCATCATATCTGCTCAGCCTGCTGCGACCACAAATCTATGCTGATCTGGAGCTTCAGGTACTGGCACCCACCCTTTGCTGGGCTGCTGGCAACTCACAGCATGCAAGCAAGGGGACCCTGCTGCCAGGCTGTCCCTGCAGAGTGGGTCCTGCAGTGGGGACATCCCTGTCTTGCAGCGGCACGGTCTGAGGGTGTTCCCACGGGACCCCTACTCCTTCACCCCATTGCTGGAGGACAGGAGCCCCCCTCGCTCGCTTCTGCTGGGACATGACATGGCCCAGACTCAGCAGCAGATTGCTCAGTTCTCCCAGAAGGATGCCCAGGTACCACCAGGGACATGCACCTGGCACAACAAAACCCACGAGGGGCTGCCCTACCCCTGGAGTGGCAGGGAGGCTCCTGGGTGGGATATCCATTGCACCCACCATGGTGCAGTCCTTGTCCACCCTCTGTCTCCTTCCAGGCCTACCCTGAGTATGAGGCATTCATGGGGCACATGGTGTTGGCCCTTGACCCACTGCTGGATGCCCCTCCAGTGGATACAGCTGCCCTGGGAAAGGGTTCCCTGCTCCAGCAGCTCAGGAACCTGCGAACCCTGAAGCCCCTGCTGCAGGCAGGTACATCTGGGATGCCAGGGAACCCCAACAGCAAGGGGTGTTTGCCAGCACCTGGGATGGGCAATGCAGAGCCTCCTCAGGAGCTCAGTCTGGGCTGGCAGACTCTGGTAGGCTTGCTCATCTTGGTCCCACTGACTGACCTCCAAACCCAGCTGGGCACCAGTAGCCAGCCCTGGCACAGCCATGCAGGTCTCACACCACCTCTCCACCCCCAGGGCTGGCCCTGGGGCGGCAGCTGCCCCACTATTACGAGGTGCTCACAGCTCCCATCTCCAAGGTGCGTGCTGGCAGTGGTGGTGTGCAAACACCCACTGCCTCTCCTGCCTGCCAGGATGCTGTGGCAGCTCCCCACCCCAAGCCTGGCATGCTCTCTTTCTCCTGGGCCAGATCCTGGATCACTGGTTTGAGTCAGAACCCCTGAAGGCAACTCTGGCTACTGATGCTGTGATTGGAGCTATGGCCAGCCCACACACCCCTGGCAGTGGGTGAGGGACCCTTCCCCCTGGGGCTCATGCCTGCACTGTCCCCTCCTGCCATAATCTGTGCTTGGCTCTGCTGCACACCAGTACCCCATGCCCTGCCCCCCTGCCTCTCCCTCCCACTGCCTGCACAGGGAGGGTTCCTCAGGGGTTGGTGCTGGGCAAGGGGCTGCCCCCAGCCCTGCCATATAGCTCTGCTCAGTGGCCCCCACTTATTCCTTCACTGTTTGGGCATTTCTGGCCCCGGGCTGGGCTGAGTCCTGGCTGCATGTGTGCTCCCTGTAACTGAGTTGACATCCCATGAGGTGGCATGGTCCCATGGGGAGGATGTGGGGCCTGTGGCACCATCCTCACTACCCACGCAGGGGACAGATCCATCCCCTCAGCCAGCAGCTAATCTGAGGTCCTGCTACCGCAGGTATGTGCTGTTGCACCATGTCATGGGTGAGCTGGAGGGACGACGGGGGGCCTGGGGCTACGTGGCAGGTGGCATGGGCGCCCTGTCCCAGGCCATCGCCCAGGCAGCCACTGCCCGGGGAGCCCACATCTTTGCTGAGAAGGTACGGGGTGTCTGGGACAGGGAAGCTGCTTGGCCATCCCCGCAGGCAGCAGGGATGCTCTTGGTAAAATCTTGTCCCCTGCACGTGCCCAGGCAGTGTGCCACGTGCTGCTGGGCAGTGACGGGGAGGCGCAGGGTGTCGCGCTGCAGGATGGGACCGAGGTGAGGAGCAAACTGGTGCTGTCCAATGCCTCTCCGCAAATCACCTTTCTGGATCTTATTCCTCAGGTATGGAGTGCATGGGCCTGCTGGGGTTTGGCATGTTGGAATAGCCCCATTCTCACTGCCTCTCACAGCCAGCCTCTGCACCGGTATATCCCACCCTAGGAGAAGCTGCCGAAGGATTTTGTCCAGCGGATCCGGCAGCTTGACACACGCTCACCTGTCACCAAGATCAACGGTAGGTACCAGCAAGGACACTTCCACTGCCATCTCTGCTGGAGGAACATTGGTGCCAGGCTCAGCAAGAGGCTGCACTCCACTTCCTCCATCTCCACATTCCATGCCCAGTGGCGGTGGATCGGCTGCCCAGCTTCCTGGCTGCCCCCAATGCCCGCGACGGCCGGCCCCTGCCCCACCACCAGTGCTCCATACACCTCAACTGCGAGGGCACCCAGCTCCTGCATCAGGCGTTCACTGAGGCTGCCCACGGGCACCCCTCCAGCAGGTAGGAGCCTGTACTGGCACACCTCAGTGCGCTGGGGAAGGGACATGACAGTCAGAGCATGCTAGGGAAGGAGGTGTGCAATGGCTGGGTCCCCCTCTGCCTGCCCAGTTGGTGTGCTGCTCCCCCAGGCCCATGATCGAGCTCTGCATTCCCTCAGCGCTGGACCCAGGGCTGGCCCCGCCAGGCTGCCATGTCGTGTCCCTCTTCACGCAGTACACCCCGTCCGTGCTGGCAGGTGGTCAGTCCTGGGACGAGCAGGCCAGAAATGCATATGCAGACCGGGGTACGAAATGCACACACAGACCCCAGGAGCACCCATGGGCAGAGCTGCCCTGGAGCTGCACAGGGGTTTGCTACCATGTCTCCCGGGCTGCCCACCAGCAGTCCCTTAATCTTTCTCCAGTGTTTGACTGCATCGAAGACTATGCCCCAGGCTTCAAGGCATCCGTCATTGGCAGGGACATCCTGACGCCACCAGACCTGGAGAGGATCTTTGGGCTGCCTGGTGGAGTGGGTACCATGGGTGTCAAGTCAACTCTGAGCATCACTCTGGTGCCACTGCTAGTGGGCACACGGGCCTGGGCCAGGCACAGCTAGTTCACAAAGCTCTGTTGGCAGAACATCTTCCATGGAGGGATGTCTCTGGACCAGCTGTACTTCACCCGGCCAGCCCCATCCTACTCTGGCTACCGGTCCCCAGTTCCTGGCCTGTACCTGTGTGGAAGTGGAGCCCACCCTGGTGAGTAGAGCTGGGAGCTAGGACCCTCATGGAGGCCTGCAGAAGGAAGAAAGGGGCATGTGGAAGAGGTACACCAGCATTCCCCATTTCTCCTTTCTTGCAGGAGGAGGAGTGATGGGAGCAGCAGGACGCAATGCCGCCCAGGTGGCTATCAAGGATTTCAGGCATCTCTGACGAGATTGGTGAAACTGACTTCTCCAACACAGGGCTGCGACAGCAGCATGCCCTACTGATGCCATGCAGAGCCCTGCCATCCCCAACTTGATTCCCCAGTACCTCAGGGCAGCAGCATCTCCTGAAAGCAGGTGTAGGCTGGCAGGGTCCCTTGTGCTCACAGCTGCTCCCATCACCTTGAACAAATGGCTGCTCCCGGCCTGCCACAACCCAGCCTTGCCCCAGTGGCTCCTGGACCCTGCATGACCATGGCAAGCCTCACCCAGCCCCTGCCTGTGCCCATGGAAATAAACCCTGGCCTGGGCTCTGTCATGAGCACTCTTGCTTTGTTTTTTTGAGCAACTTGTGCAGCTCCTACTGTGTTATCCACACTTGGTGGTAATGCAGCCTTGGGGGAGTTGCCAGAGAGCACAGGCACATTTCAGAGTAGTGAACAGGGACAAAGAGCCCCTCACCCTCTCCTCTGCTCATTGATGCAGACTCAGGTGCATGCAGGGCTGTTTGTATTGAGCTTCACAGCTCCGGGCAAGTCCAGACCATCCTAAGTACTGAGAACAAGCAGGGACCTGCCTGGGCACTGCTTTGGTACCTGAAGTCCCCAGCTGTCCTCAGTGCCCGGCTCCTGGTGGCTGTGTGTACGGCAGACACGTGCCCAGCAGCTCAGAAACCACAGGAGCCGGGAGCAGCAGCTGTCCCCTCGTGCCTCACACACGCTCCTATTCCCGACGGAAGCCGCCTGCACGTGTTCTGGGCCGTCCCCTGGGCAGATGTTCCGTGCTGGCCACTCCTCGGCCACAGCAGGCTCGGGGTGTGCCCCTCGCCCGGGCTGCTGCCGGGAGCCGCTGCCTGCAGATTACAGAGCTCACATCCTCTCCCTGCCCTCTTCCTCCGCCGGACAATGCTCCCGATTCAGCCGCCCGCCTCGCCTCCTGCCGGGCCCTAAATACGGTGCTGACAGGGTGAGCTGCTGCACCTGAGCTGGCTGAATCAATATTGACCGGCCAGGAATAGTCCCGCAGCCCTCTGAGAATAGCCCCGCACGCCCGCCCGCCGCCCACAGCTTCCCGCGCCGGGGCTGCCCTGCTGCCGGCCGCGTATTTTTAGCTGCTGCCGTCGCTGCCTGCCCGGGATCGCAGGTGCTGGCACCCAGTGAGCCCCGAGGGACATGAGGGGCTCATTGGCTGACACCTCAGGGCAAAAGGGGACACCTCCAGCCCGCCACCATCACATGAGCGGCAGGACAAGGTGCCCGTGCTGCTGCGAGAAGAGTCTGGGGGGTCCCAGGTGTGGGAGAGCCCAGCAGCCCCCCCACTTCTCTCTCCTTGCTGTCCCCTGGAGCAGAGGCAGGGCTGGGAGCGGGACCCAGCACCCGCCTGCCCTGCGCCCCTGCCAGCATCTGCCGGGGGAGGAGTTCGGGGGAGGCTCCCGGCTTCACACTTAAGCAATTGATCTCCAAAACGTCGAGACGAATGAGTCACGGGCTCCGCTGCTGGCCCCAACCCTGCCCTTCCCCAGGGCTTTCCAGCCTCCGTTCTGGGGCTGGCCCATGACTCATCTCGCAGCAGAGGCTTCAGGACATTGCCCTGATCCCGGCCCAGGCAGAGGGCTGCGATGAGAGTCCCCTGCGAGGGGGACCCGGGGTTGTGCATCCCTGCACACCCAGAGGTGCTGTAGGTCCTTGCGAGACGTGGCGATGAGCTCACGGGCTATTCCCGGCCGTGTTGATCCTGGCTCCTCCCGGCAGGATCCGGCTGCTTTGACTCCAAACAAACAGTCCGGTGGCCACCGGCACATTCCTGGCCGGTCCCTGGGCACGGCCGGGGCACAGGGTTTCCTGTTTATCCCCATCCCCGGCGGGGCACGGCGGCCGTGTGGGCAGCAGGGTGCCCCGGGGACTGGCGGCACCCCAAGCCGGAGGTTGCTCCCGGGGCAAGTCGGGGCGGGGGGGGGCGCGCATCACCAGTCTCCACGTCCCACGGAGCGGGGCTGAGCCTGAGGACCCCCACAGCCAGCCTGGTTCGTGGATGGCATAGATGATGCCCCAAGCCCTGGGAGAATTGTGCTCCGGGCTCATGGTACCGTGGTCCTTCTGCCCCCGAATCCTGGCCACACTGCAGCACCTCCAGGCATCCTATGCCTGTGCACCCACTTGAACCACTGCGTGAGTGGGAAGCTGCAAGGAGTGTCCCCGGCATAGCAGTTCGTCATCTCCAGAAAGTCGATGCTGTGCCTGGCTGCGGGACAGCCCAGGGAGGGGAGCATCCCTGACCGAGGGGTTTGGACTCGGGGGAGGTCCAGCCTCACAGCAGGTAGGGACTGTCCGGGACAGCTCAGATCCTCCCGGCTGGGGAAAGGATATGGTTTGGGACAGGAACGGGTTTGCCCCAGTGTGCGGTGAAGCAGAGTAGGGCCGGGGTGGGCAGGGAGCAGGGCTGGGCTCCAGACCAGAGGCGGGGAGGCGGGGGGCCCCCTCGGGTCGGCCCATCCCGCCGCACCATAAAAGCGGCTGCAGGCGGTGCCCAGCGGGAGGCAGGAGCTGCGGGATCCGCTGCCGCCAGCGCTGCCGCTGCGTCCACTCGCCACCACCGTGTCCCTCTCCACCGCCTGTCCCGCACCGCTGCCGGTCCGGCACCACCATCCCTTGCCTGGGTGAGTGCCAGCGGTGGCCCTGGGAGCGGGGTTCTGGGTACCTGGAGGGGGGTCAGCAATCCCACCGATGCTCTGAATGAGGATGCAGGGGAAGAGGTGAGGGGACGGGGACCGGGCTGTGTGCAAGATGGGGAGGAATCCTGGTGTTCAGTAGAGAATCCAGGTGAACGATGAAAGGGGGCTCTGTGGGGCTGTCACCTATGTCCCGAAACATGGGGCAGACAGGAAGCAACAAGAGGCCAGTGTTCATGAGGCTGCCCATGGCTGTCAGTGCGCAGGAGGGCTGTATCAGAGCTGGGTGACCTGGTGAAGGGTGTAGGGCTGTGGTGTGCTGTGAGTATGGCAGGGACCAGCCCATGCATCCCCCACAGCACAGGGACAGGGATGACACCACCGTGCAAGAGGGCACAAGATCCCTCCACCATTGCCCAGCTCCTGCAGCAGAGGGGGGCTGCAGCTGCACCCCCATTCTTCCTTGATCCCCAAGGACTCATTGTTGGTCTGTCCCCAGGCATCCACTAACAGAACCGTGATGGTGATGCCATCTGGCACAAGTCACATCTTGCTGGTGCTGGTGCTGTGCTGGGTGGCCCGCAGCAGGCAGGAGCTGGCCCCGGTGCAGCTGCGGCTGGGGGGACCCCGGGGCCCAGCTGGAGAAGGCCGGCTGGAGGTGCTGTACCAGGGGCGCTGGGGCACCGTGTGCGATGACGGCTTCGACTTCCATGCGGCCACGGTCGCCTGCCGACAGCTGGGCTACACTGCAGCCATCACCTGGACCCACAGTGCCACCTACGGCCAAGGGGAAGGTAGGGGGCAGGTGGGGAATGGGGGCAGGGGGTCCTGAGGAGGGCAGTGTGCTTCCCACTGGCTGTGGGAGCCTCCACACAGGGCTGTCTGCACCGCTGCATGGGGCCTCTGCCGCTGTGTCCCCAGGCCCCATCTGGCTGGACAACGTGCGATGTGGGGGCAGCGAAGGCTCCCTGGCAGAGTGTGTCCACAATGGCTGGGGCATCAGTGACTGCCACCACGGTGAGGATGCTGGTGTGGTGTGCTCAGGACAGCGCCTGCCTGGCAACTCCCCCCAGGCCACCACCTCTGGTCACCTGGGAGAGGTGAGTGAGGACCCATGGCATTCGCCTGTGGCCAGCAGGGTACACCGGGGTGACTGGAGCAGGTCCCACTGATCCTTCCCCTGGCCCCTTTTCTGAACGCTCTGCCCTCGGTGCTGGAGCCCCGCGCCCACCCCACGCCCGCTGTGGCAGGTGCTGGGACTAACCCTGGAGGAGGTGCGGCTCAAGCCCATCCTGGCACGGGCCAAGCTGAGCATGCCAGTGATGGAGGGTGCTGTGGAGGTGAAGCACAACGGGCGCTGGAGGCAGGTGTGTGATGCCAACTGGACCAGGAACAACAGCCGCGTGGTCTGCGGGATGCTGGGCTTCCCCCGGGAGAAGCACATCAACACCAGCTTCTACCGGTAGGGACGTGGGGGACACGCGCTGCACCTGGGCATGCGGGGCAGGGGCCTGGCTGGGCACACGGCGGGGACGAGAGACTGGGGGAGTGGTCAGAGAAGGGCTGCACATATGGGTGGGTGTGCTGGTATGGCCTGGCCTGGCCATGCCTGGATCCCCTTCTTGGGCTTTTGACAAGGGTCAGAGTTGGATTCAGCAGCATCCAGAGGTCTTTGGGGATGGTCACCATGATGACTGGCAAAGTGTGGGAGAAAGGAGAGGAAAGATGAGTGTTCCTTGGTTCCTCCCATCCCGTCTCAGCCTGGAACTATAAATACAGCACATAATGAGACCCTACCGGTGCCAGGAGTCACACAGTCCCGCTGGGACACATGGTATAGACGGGCTTGGCACAGTAATTGCCACTGGGGAGAGAGTATGACGTATCTCCCGACGAGGAGGGTAGAAATGATGGGGCAGGGGGCTCAGAGTTGGGTAGTGTCAGCATACTCCCTTACCTCCTGGCTCTGTACACCCACAGAAAGCTCTGGAACAGGAAGCTGAAGGACCCCAACTCCAGGTAGGACTCAGCAATGTGCATGGCAGGCAGGGCACCTTGAATGGGCACGCAGCATGAGCATTGGGTGGGGGAGAGTCCCTGGCACCGAGCTGACCCTGGCCCTGCTCCTCTGCCTTGGCAGCCTGAAGACCCTCAGCCAGAAGAACAGCTTCTGGGTGCACAAGGTGCGGTGTCAGGGCTCAGAGCCCCACCTGGCCCGCTGCCCTGTGCAGATGGCCCCACCAGCTCCCCGCCAGCACGCCTGCCCCCACGGCATGCACGCCATCGTCAGCTGTCTCCCTGGCCCTGCTGTCCAGAAGGGCAAGGGCAAGAACAAGACAGCCCCAGGGAAGGTGAGCCCTTGCAGAGTTCTACACCCTCTCCCACTGACAGAGAGTCCCAGGGCTGAGCAGCACTGAGGAGGGGGCTGGCTGTGTCCTGGGGTTGCTGACTGGCTGCTCTCCGTACCCAGGTGCTCCCAGTGCGGCTGCGAGCGGGCACCCACGCTGGTGAGGGCCGGGTGGAGGTGCTACGCCACGGGCAGTGGGGCACCGTGTGTGACAAGCAGTGGGACCTGACTGCAGCCAGTGTGGTGTGCCGGCAGCTGGGCTATGGGACAGCGAAGCAGGCCCTGGTGGGAGCCCGGATGGGACAAG